CTCATGTAAAGGAGACCGCACGTGTTGTTTGTTTAAACACTGCTTTAAACAATGCCACCAGCATGTCAACATGTTTATATATGCAAGGGTGCTTGCCGAGTTTTTGGAGTATAAGAACTTCCAAGCAATACTTCATTTCGCGAGGTTGGCGTTATGGCCCCCCCTTCCCCCCTCCCCCCCTTGCCCCCCGCCTTTTCCCCCCCCGCCTTTTCCCCCCCCGCCGCCCCCCCCTTTTCCCCACCCCTCCCTGCCCAAAGACTTCAAGACCCCGGTTTTCCAGGCCTCTTTGGGTGCAGCAGCTGCTGCCAAGTACCTGGACGATCGGCTGTGCGCGCCGAGAGACATGGGCTACCTTCCCGCGCGCGCGCTGCGCGCGGCCTGCGCAAAGGTCGCGGCAAAGGTCGCGAAGGCGAAGTGAGAGAAATCTGCGCGCCGTGGGGAAAGTCGGGAAGCAACATGGCTGGTGACCAGAGAAAACATGGCAAACAAAAAGCAAACAAACACGACAACATACATATTTCAGGGTTTTCAGCTTCTGGAGGGCAAACTTTAACTGACTCATGAGGCGAGTCTTTGTGATCAATTCGCCCCAGAGACCTGGGAAGCCACTTGTTGGCCTTCGCCCCGGATCTTGGTACGTCACAAGGGCCTGTTCTTGAGGTTTCAATCCTTATGGAGATCGCCAACGCATCTCCAGTGGAGAGTCCTGTCTGCTTGGTGCGATGTTTTTTTTAGGGCACCTACAAGAGTCGACAGACCCCAAAAGCTCGTCGCAGAGGGGGGGGTTGGAGCGCAGTGTCTGAGGTTGGAATCCCAGGAGACCTTCGCGGTGTTGGGGCGCGACGTGCCACGCCTGGAATGTCTGGCCGGGGCCTTGACGAGCCTCTGGACATCGAAATCCATAGGAATGTCTTTTCGTGAGGCAACAAATTTCTGTGGCGTTATAAACACTATCTCCCACGGAAGTGAGTTTTCTGCGGAATGTGCAATGCTTACGGAGCCTTTTGGTTGAGAGTATCACATCTAAATCCATACTGTGGATGGATGAAGTCCATTTCGATAGGCGGTTTGTCTTATTCTTTATAGGGCTTCATCCATTCCAGGTGCAGGATTTAACATGTTGGCTCGTCTTTTGGAGGGTGCTGGTTTTAAAGTAAAGGGAAGCCAAAAGGAGAACCAAAGTCCATTTTGTTTGGTACCACGATCTTGAGACACACCCAAATTCCATATGCCCCAAAGAGGCTTAACACCTTCCCTCCCTCCGGAAGCTGATCCGCGGGAACACAACTTTCCTTTTGCTGAACCTCGCGAAGGTGAGTTTCCATGGACGGGAAACCGTGAGGATGTGACCAGAGTTGCCGCTAAAAGAATCCGTTGCAACCTCCCAGGGTGGTCCCAACCCGCCCTTCCAGGACAGCTTCGGGTTGATTTAACTCGATCCTCTTAGAAGCGGCATCCGGCCGGCAGCGGTCAGCCTTCATGCGATTCTTGATCCGTTCGTTGGACACCCCGAACCTTTTTTGGTTTTGTTGGGGTGGGGGGGTCCCAATGGATTAGGCGGCAAGGGGATGTTTCTTTGATGTGGAAATGACATACCACCCAAACCTGACGAGGAATGCCTTTTCCTGGCTGTGAAAAGAGTGAAATCTTAAAGGAGGGCAATTGTGTTAAGGATTTTTAGTGGCCGAGACGAAGAACACACATAAATCCCAAAATAAAACCAAAAACAAATTCGATCTCGACCCAATCTTAGAAGCAAGAGCAGTGAATTCGGACCACTTGAAGGCCAGTAAGGGGCCTATCCCTGACCAGGTTTTGGTCTAGGTCCTAAAGGATCACATCTTTTATTGCCAGGTCCTGAAAGGCTATCCCCAACTCCAGGAAAAGCTTCAAGAAATGACTGGCTTTTTTAACGAGGCTCGGCACCAAATGATGGGACCCGTTTTGATTGTTTACGGGACAAGTTTGGACACAGCAAATTTGGCATGATTGCCCCCCAGTTTCTTTTTCGATGATTTTTTATGCACCCTTTTGGGACCCGTTGTTTTTTCTTCTTTTTCTCTGCAATGTCGCCATGATTCCACCACTTTGCAGGCAAACCAACACGGTCGATTAGCCGTGCTCGATCCGAAGTCGACCAGATGACGCTGGGCAATCGCCTGGACAGCCGCAAGCTGGCGGTCGCTAAGCTTCCGTGCCTGAGGCGCGCGCGCCCTCCTGCCAAGCCGCTCTCGTAGACTGCGAATGTTGTGGTTGCGGTGGGTCGTCGTCCTTATTGAGGGTACCTTTTTTTGGCTCCGGGGGAAACCAACAGGGAAACCGTTGCGCCTTTTGGGGGGTCCACAAGACACGCATGTTTGTTTTGTGTGCTTCTATGGAGACGAAGGGACAGATCGAAGACTTTGGGCATGGTTTTTTTGGAGGTTTAGCTGGACCCCGTGTTTTGCCGACCCGTGAGTGGCCCCTTTTTCTTTGTTGGTAGGGGGCAAAACACGGGGGCCTGTGGCGCAGGACCCACCCCATTGGAGCAATCTCTAGTGATCTCTGTTGAAACGGCTTGCTTGCCTCACGGGCCTGTTTGACGTCCCAAGATAGGCTTTGCCAAGAATGGGTTGCCAAATTTTGCATACATCAAAAAAAGGCGCAATGCTCTTTTCACTGGGTTATTTGAAATTTGGATGTTCAGGGCTTTTAGGGTGTGGGCTATGCCTAAACCTTTGACAGGGTTCACTTACTTCCGAGCTTCTAAACACATTAATTACAAATTGGAACGACACCATTCAAGAAGAATCCAGCATGTCATGCACGGCTATGAATTATCTAGGGGGTGATTTCCTAAACAAGCGAGTTAAGTTGTTTGTCACTTCCAATTGCGCGCCATCCAGCCTAAGGACCAGCCACCTGCATTTGTCACAGGTGTTGATTCATTTTCCATTGCTTTCCCATGTGCGTTTCTGAAGGCGTGTCGTGTCCGGGTGATTTGTTTTGTGGTTTTCGGGAGGGGTCCATTTCTGGCACTGGCGAAGAGACCCTCAATGACAGGTTTTGTTTCCTTGTACAGCCGCATCAAACATGACCCCCTGGGGTGGCATCGGAGCATTGGAATGTTTCGAACCTCAAAAATCAGCATTGTCCGGTACCGAGATTCATGTGCACACCCAAACACACATCTCTTGAGGTTGGTCTGCTGGATATGGATGTGTCTGTCATTTGCTCCCCCCCAAAAAAAACAAAGGAGCTCGTTCTCTTCTTGGTGTCCCCTTGAAACCAACAAGAATACCCTCAAATCCCCCAGCAACCAGTTTGCAGCAAACCGGGCCAACCAGTTCCAACATGTGCTGTGTTTTTGATACACCTGAACATGTGCTCGTTGCAGCGAAGAGTAGCTGTGTAATACAAAAAAGCAAAGCAATGACAGTTCTCCTATCATCACTGAAGTGGGTTTGCTAGTACCCCTACTCCCCATTCAAATGATGCACTATAAGGGTGTTAGTAATTAGACTGGGGATTTCGGGAAAATCAATGGGCCCACCATTCCAATTATTTAATCTATCTTTTGGTAAAGGAAACCCAACGAAAGACAACAACCAACCATTTGAGATCACTATTTCAACGCACCCCCCATGTTTGTCTTATTTAATAATACTGTTTGTTGGAGTGGTTTAGCGGGAACCAAAGGAAACCAAGCATTAACCATTTGAGGGTTCCCTATTGTTGATGAACAAATTCCCGATTCAGTTGGAATGGATGGAAGTCTATAAAGCATGGTTGACAAAATATCTAATCGATCTTGGCCGTTCCCAGCCGTCCGGTTCCTTAGGTTGTTAGTTGTGTTTTGTTGGTTTAGCGGTTGGGTTTCCGTATTCAATCCGCAAGTTAGTCACGTTTCGCGGGGGATCAGTTTGTACAGCCCAGTGTTGGTTGCCACTCGGGATAAGAGAAGTCTGTAGAGGCCCTAGATCCTGGAACTGCGGCTTCCCCAAACATCCCATCACTACTTGGGTGTTCGGCCAAGTTAGTATGGTGGATAGCCACACTAATTGCTGGGTTAACTATAACTAAATTATCTCGGAACGGTTACCGTTGCAACTTGCTAACCTGGTGAATGAAAGACCCAAGTAGTCACTTTTCTTGCTGGTGCTCAGTCAGGAATGAGTGACAGAACCAGGCGTCCCCTTCAAGCCTGCTGATTTCGCAGCAGCAAGATGAATCTTTGGGCTTCAAAGGATGACTTCTTCTCATTACATTGGAAAAGTTACCCATGGTCAAACCGTTCGCCTCGTCGGGAATATTGATCCACCCCCATATCAAGCTGCTCGATTTCGGCAAGGTTTCGCCTTCTGGGATCTGAACTTGGCCGCTTTGAAGCCTTTAGGGCAGACTTGGCCAGTTTTGCAGAACCTGAGCCCCCCTTTTTAGAGAAAAACAACACGGAGTTTCCGGAGACTACTACTTTTTGAAAAGTCTCCTAGAAAAAAACACGGAGAACTGGTCTCATGGATTTCATGGCCGTTCTTGAAAATGGACCGCCCAGCTAGGCTGCCCAGTCCGGGTGTCAGATCTCGTCAGGACCTTTGATGGAAAGGATGTGACCCCAGAGGAGGCGCAGGTGCCGAATTTTGCTGTGGGGGCGGCGTTCGAGCGGCCAGGGTCTCTGCAGCACCTTGATCGGTGTTTGTTGTTGTTTCTTTTTGTTGGTTTAATCAAATGTTGTGTTTATGTGTGTGTGTGTGTTTTGCAGTGTGTGTGTGTGTTGTGTTGCTGTTGTTTGTATAATTTTTGAACATGTGTCGTTACATTGTTTTTTTGTTGCCATGCTTGTTGTCGAATGTATGCGTCTGTGTGTTTGTTGCAGCGGGAACCTGGTGGTTTGACTTGTTTGTTTGCAGACAAATCCAAAAAGTCATCCACTAGAACTGCAAATTTCCCAGCCATGATTGGCAAGCCCAAACATCGGAAGGGGCTTGCTTGCCACGGCCAATTGCGGTTCTACAGTACCCCGGCCATATGTATTCTAGTTGTTTGGGTCTTATACAATTTGGGAACCCAGGGTTCATTCACCCCTGATTGACTTTGATCTTGAGTTGTCCCAGGTTTTGGGAAACCCGGAAGCTCGAGAAATGACACCCGGTCCATCAGATTCCACTGACTTGGTACTGGAGTTATTTGTCATTTGTGTGGCTTGTTTTTTTGAGGGTACCACTTTTTAGGTTGTTTCAAAGCGAACCCCCCCCCCCCATTTCGCAGGTTCTCCCATTTTGTGACAAACCCATCTGGCTGGGTTTTTGGGGACGAGCAAATGAGCAGGTGTTGCCTGGTTGCTTACCACACAACAACGGATCGCAAACGAGAAGCCAGGCATTACTAGGCACTGGATAATTGTGGATTTTTGTTTTTTGCTGAGTTCCTATTTGGGTGTGTCTTTTTTCTTTTGGACCCCCCAAAATGATGGTGTTCCTTTCATGTTCCTCTTCAAACCAACCAGAAGGGGTTTCCTTAAAAGCAGGACACACCCATTTAGCACCCAGGTTATGTAGACCATGGTTTCACTAGTAAATGCAGCTTATCAACTGCTGTTCCAAAGGTAGCTGAGGATAATTCGCGGAAATCCTTGTCACCTCTTCAACACCGGGGTCACGAGTTTGGCTCCAGGGGTTATGAAAAATCAGCAACTGGGGTAGTGTCCCTACCCCACTCAAAGTGACTTTGGGGTGAACTTTGATGATGGTAAACTTGACGTGACTGAGGCCGGTGGTATGTATGGTTTCCTCCATGCGCTTTCGCTGTTTTCGGTCGATGGGGTCTGGTCATTTTTAGTGGATGCCTGAACAACAATAGAACTGGGCAGTTTTCCTTGTGAAGCCATAGCTAATGTTTAAACCAGGGGTTCCTACCAAAAGTTATACAAAGGGTTCGTTCCTGCAGAGCGAGGGTGCCGTGAAGAAGGATTGGACATATTGTATTCAGAATTAGAGCAGCTGAAACAACTTCCCTCCGGAGCAGGGTTGTGGGATCAAGGGGTTTCTCCCCACTTCTGTGATACAAGGGAATCCCCCTTTATATGAAGAAAATAGTCTTTGGGAAGCCCTTTCTGTTGTATCACAGAAGTGGTCATTCCCCACAGCCCTGGTCCGGAGTGAGGGGACCTTCAGAAAAACAGACTTGGGCCCATTTCCTCCTGGCTGATTCTCACAATGATGATATCGGTTCTAGCTGGCCGTGTCAAACCAAGAGCGAAACTGAAGCCTTGCGAACGAACCTTTTTGCAAACTAGGGTTGTTACGTATCGCCAACATAACCATGTTTATTAGGCAAACAAACCACCGCCCAAAGCAGCCAGGACCCTCCAACGTAGGGGTTTTAGTGAAACAGCCAATGCTGAGAAACCAAGATTCTTAGGACAGGAAGACAAAACCTGTCCATTTCGAACACAAATTCCTGTGCAGTTCCATGCTTGTTAATATTTTTTGAAGCCTTCAAGCTGAACCTGGGCTCAAAACATTGGTTGCACTTGGACAATGATTTGAGTGAATCGGAAGGATTAATTCTCCAACCCTGCCCGGAAAGGCTCTTGAGGTAGCCGATGCTCAGGGATAAGAAAAGCCCTTGCCTCCTAGAGTCGGGTAACACGGCTTCGAGTCGGGGGTTAGCAAAGCAAGCAAACACAAAGCAACGCATGCAACATAAACAAGCAAACAAACAAACACACAAACAGAATCAAAAACAGAAGTCCTTGTGGGGGGCCTCGTCCGCTTGCAAAATCTCACGCCTTCACTGTGCCAGGCGTACCGGAGCTACGAGCGGAAGGAGATCAACGAGGATCGAGAGAGAACTTTGGGCGAGCTGGTGGTGGTTGCTTGACATTAGGTATGGCGATCTTCATGGCGAGTAATTCGGCACCTTTCTGGAGGTTTGCAAGTAAGTCGGCATGTTCTCCAGTTTGTTGGCTGTTTATGTTCTGTTCATTTTTAGTGGGCCAGCAAAAACACATTTCTTTGCTATCATAGGCGTTGGCAGCTATGGGCCGTGGGTAGCTGGTCTTCTTCTGGCTGGGCGGACAAAACGGTGATGACACATTTCTCGCTAGCAGCTCGAGCGCCGGAAGCAAATCGCTCGGGATGTTGAAACCAAGCACCGGCACTTGGGATTGGCTCTGCGAGAAGCTCCAGGAGGAAGCCTCCTAGATAGCCAAGTTGCTGTTTTTTTGTTCAGTCACTGTTGCTGGTTTTTGGGGCAAAGTGCATGGAAAAAGCGATCGCAACTGGCGATCCAGGAAGAAACCAGTTGAGTCCAGCAACTTGGATCCAGAACTCCTTGAGCAGCCAAAAAAAATGAGAAGAGCCCAAGTCTCGGAAGGAAGCGAGCAAGTCATCTATGTGATAGAGACGGCGACGAGTGGACCGTCTCATCTGCAATGATATTCCCGTGACAGAACTCAAGTTGCCGGGTGATTTTGCAGAAACTTTGGACATACGCCCGATCTGCCGATTCGAAAATGTGTTTGGTACGCAACATTGGCCATCAAAGGCAGCGTGAGCGCTATCCAAACGGTTGTGAACAATAGCAAGCAAATCGCCCGACGAGTATCGGAACTACTTACGCCTCTTCGGAAGATTGCCCAGCGAGCATCTCCCCATGTTGAAGATATTGTCAAAGGAGACTACAATCCGACCACTGGGAGGAAGTGTCAAGATTGTTTTCGAGACCACAAATCTCCCACTTCGCCCACTGTACATCTTGCCTTGAATCTTACCATTCAGGATCTGCTGGAAACTACCCAACTGTCCGACTACTGCTTTCGTATTATATATGTTCGTGACTGCTGTCTATTTGGCAGTAGTTGCGCAAATAGAACAACAGACAGTAGATCCCCGATCTACGATTGTTTCCCAAACAGTAAAGCCCAAGCTTATATCCCCGGGGTTGTGGGCATAAGGCCCCACTCGGTACTCAGCCAAAGCACCTTTCCGGCAAGGTGGAAGATGATGTTAATGATAGAACTCAATCAGCTGCCGAGACGCTGACCTTTTGAATTACTGGTATCAATTTGGAGTCAGAGCATGCCCCTTTGCGCGGCTTGGTCATGAAGTCTTTATTCGGGTTTGGACAACAAACGTAAGGGTTCCTACTACGGAAGCGGACCGAGGAAACGTTGGTGGCTTGACCTTCAAAACATATCAAAGCATTGGGCTTTCTTGCGCTCACTTCCCAAACTGGAAGTCAAACTGTTTGAACATCATGTTTCAAGTAGGAACCGGCTTGTACTTTGTTTGCCAAACCACCCTAAACCAGCCCCAAGCCCATTCCAAACCAGCACTAAACCACAACTAAACCCACCCTCATTCCGCCCTCATCACCTTCTCGCACGCCGAAAGTCTGGTTTATTGGAAACATATATTTTCTTGAGACTTTCGGGGAAGGTCATGTTCGTAAACCAAATGTGCACCTGGGACCCTCATAAAAATGGGATATCACCAACCACAATTTTGGGGGTCAAACCCATTTTTCAGTTGGAATTTTGAGGGTTCCGGTACCTGGCCCCGAGTGCGGTCAATTGACCCCAAGCAAGAAGCCCTTGCAAGAGGCCACTTGGCGTTTGTGTGATCACTTTGGGTCAGGCCCATCCACTTATCGAAGCCGTTCCCCCCCACTAGTTCCGAGCGTTGCGTGGACCCGTCCACTGCTCAGCAGAGGCGTTTTGCTCGTGTTTGCTCCACGGGGTCAACGCGAGGACTTTCTGATGCACCATTCCTTTGCTCCGCCCAAGGGTCGGTGACCCCAGATCTTGCCGCTTGCCCTGGGTTTTCTTGGTTGGGTGACTAAGTCGTTCAATGGTTTCGAACGAAGGGGTTCCTTCTAGAGGCAGCAACAGTATGACTGTCCTGGGTGCAAGCGATCGGACCCTGTTGATTGGAAGCCGGTTCGGTCCCGGAGATAGACCCTTGGAAAGTACAAGCAGACCCCCTGGTGCAAGGCCCCTAGCTGGCTGGGCATTTGTTTATGTTTTTTCGGGGAATTATGAATTCCCGTAGCTTACCAATTTGGGGATCTCATATGCTCGTTGCGTGTTGCTATTGACGTTATGATTCAAATAGACCAGGCTCCCGGGTTTACACATGCATATTGTTTGTTGTGCTTGGGATGTGTCAGAATTAGGTTCTGTTTGGGACAGTCTGAGAAGGGAGCCGACATGGACCAACATGGTTCATCAACCTTTTCGTGCGTGGACCCTGCGTCAATCTGTGGCGGACATCATTTGTAGGGATTTATTTGCAGCTATCGCTTTGAGGGGGAAATGTGTGTGTATCGAATTCCATAGCCATCGTTGCTTTTGTCTCATTTATCTCCAGGGGGCTATCCGGATAAGCCTAAGACAAGCCAAGCACAAGCGCCCTAGTAATGCCGTACTAAAGGTCAAATAGGGGATAGCCCCTCCTCCCCCTAGCTGCCCTTCAAGTCAGTAACCGTTTGAGACGCTGCTGAGTCCCGCCATCATCAGTCGCGATGTTTGGAAAGACATCAATATGGGCGTGTCCTTTTTGAGGGTACCCCTTGTTTGTGGCGTGAAAAGAACATCAAAAGGAAAGCCACTTGTTGTGGGCCCCCTAGAGAAAAAGCACACCTACAATATACCAGTTGAGTGGTTGATCTACAATACAGTTTTAATGGTTGGTGGGGGCTGGGTCCAAGGAATACATTTGTTCTTTGTGTGTGTGTGTGTGGCTGCTGTGGTCTAGTTTGAATGGTTGGTCGTTGTGTCGTTTGCGTGTTGTTTGCTTGTTTGCATGCTTGCTTGCATGCTTGCTTGCATGCTTGCTTGTTTGCGCGCATGCTTGCTTGTTTGTTTGTGTGGTTGCTTGCTTGCTTGCTTGCCTGCCTGCCTACCTGCCTGCCTGCCTGTTGCTTGCCTGATTGCGTGCATGCTTGCCTGCTTGTTTGTTTGCTTGCTTGCCTGCTTGTTTGTTTGCTTGCTTGTCTGCTTCCCTGCATGCTTGCTTGCTCGCTCGCTCGCTTGCTTGCTTGCTTGCTTGCTTGCTTGCTTGCTTGCTTGCTTGCTTGTGTGTTTGTTTGTTTGTTTGTTTGTTCGTTTGTTTTGCTTTGTTGTGTTTGGTTGTTTGGTTGTTTGGTTGTTTGGTTGCTTGGTTGTTTAGTTGTTTGGTTGTTTGGTTGCTTGAATGTTTGTTTGATTTATTGTTTGTTTGTTTTGGTTGTTTTGGTTGTTTGCTTGTTTGTGTGTGTGCTTGCTTGCTTGCTTTTTTTGTTTGTTTGCTTGTTTGTTTGTTTGTTTGCTTGCTCGCTTGCTTGCTTGCTTGTTTGTTTGTTTGTTTGTTTGTGTGTGTTTTTTGTTTGTTTGTTTGCTTGTTTGTTTGCTTGTTAGCTTGCTTGCTTGCTTGCTTGCTTGCTTGCTTGCTTGCTTGCTTGCTTGCTTGCTTGCTGGCTGGCTGGCTGGCTGGCTTGCTTGCTTGCTTGCTTGCTTGACATGATAGTATCCGGGTAAATCAAAGCATTTCACAAATTGCGAGTAAAGGACGCATCTTATTGTAGTCTTACCTGGGGGCGGGGGAAATCCTTTCTCCTCTTTTCCCGTTGCGGCCTCTTGTAGCCTCTGAGGCAGTACATCTGCAAGGCGAGCCGAAGAGTCTTGGGGGGCGGTCCAACAGGGGGACCTTGTGTTTCGCCTTTTTGGAAGGAGCAAGCATTCAATAGTTTCATGGCGATTTGGCGGAGCTTGCGCATCAACAGTGCACTTTGTTGGCTCATCATGCGCTTGTTCAAAGCCAAATCTCCAGTCTTTGGCGGATTTCGGATTATGCGGTTTACGGATGTGTTGCATGGGTTTTCAATGCTCCAGCATAGGGTTTTGAATCGCACGCCGATGGATCAAGACGATTGCCGACCGGAACAAGGATTAAGCGGATTACGGGCCCGAGTGTCGTTTTGACCCCTTGACAGAGCGAGTAAAAGTTGTCATTGTCCGGTTGATTGTTGAACCTGGAGCCTCCCAGTCTGACCATAGCTGTGTCTGTTGGGGAAAATCCGTGGCTTTTCCTGGTAGATTTTCTGAAACAACCAGGTCAGCGCCAGGTCAGCAGCAATCGGTTCCAAAACAACCAAATTGGGCACCTACGCCCCTGACTCTTGGAACATTTGGTCATGGCTTTGATTCTGGGTAGATGACCCCACGTTTAATCCTGGTTGCTGACCCCTCTGCAAGTTGTTTCACTTGTTCTGGGTCCCATACGGAAAATCCGACCTGTTTCAACTGAAAGGTTAAAGTCTAGCCAGAAAGATGGATAATATGGGGGGCTAAAGAAAGGAGCTAATATAATGGGATTCGTATCTTGAATGATCAATAATTGCCAACTCACAATGACTCAATTTATTTTAAGTTCTAACTAAGTACCTAATCACCATTCAGACCCTTATTGTACTACCAGTACGCCAGATATACTGTTTCAATCATGCGCCATGAACAAGTCTAGGGATTGCTTTGATGCCGAATCCAGCAGTGGATTCCCTCCTTGGACAGACCAATGCCATGGGTCAAAATTAAACCACCAGGGGACCGCAGGGTTTTGGTCCATGTTTCCACTTGCTAGGGTTCCAGCTAGGGTACCTATTTTAGACCACTGCCAACCAAGACAACTCTCGAGTCGGCGCAGCCTGTCAGGCTTCCAGGAGACTTGGGTCGCGAGCTCAGAGAAGCAGACTGGGGTCGGCCCTTCTTTAGGCTTGGCCTGTGTTCCAAGCCTGGGTTTCTATACGGACACCGGCAGGAAACCTGTTCCAAGCTTGGGTTTTATGCGCGTATCAAATTGTACCCTTTGCACGTTGAGGCCTCAGAACCTAAGGCCCTAGAGGTATCAAGACGTTTGGAGGACTTCACTGTTCTTGGCATGTTTGTTGGTTTGTTATGTTTTTTGGTTCTGTTCATTTTTACTGGGGGTCTGCAAAAAACAAAGTGTTTAGCTACCATACCAAGAGTAGAGATGAAGACTATTGGAGGAAACTTGTTTTGACAGCCTCAGAGGGCGTCGTTGCTTCAGCAAACTCCCTTCTTTGGTTCGTCCGGTTTACACGCAGCTTGCCCACCCTGGACCCTGACGACAACCGGGAACTGGTGAATGTCCCTTTGCCTCACACCGTCGGTTCCCCTCACGGCCGGTGCTTTTTCAAGAGCGTGGTATTCCATGAGTCGGTCATTGGACATAGTTGAGCTTTTGGCAGCTGAAGGGTTGCCTCAGGATCGTGGTAATTACCCTCTGTTGCCCAGTTTTTTCCTTTTTTTGGGAAAGGGTTCCCCTTTAAGCTCAAGCAACAGAAAAGGGGTGCCGATCCTTTTTTTCCCATGGAAATCCGCTGGGCATCTAAGTACCTCAGCAGAGGCCTTTCTAGGTTCAACACCTTCCAATTGAGGGGGTTTCCAGTCCCTCTTTCCCTGTTCAGGGGAGGGGGGGTCCTTTCCGATGCTTAGGGTGGACTGGTGCCGAAGGGTGCATCTTGTTCAAAATGCGTTGTGTTCCTGAATTGTCAGGCTTAGTCCGTTGGATGGATATGAATCTGTGTGTGAGTCGATCAAATGTGGTTGTAATTCGGGTTGCTGGGGTAGGCGCTTGGCTGAGTACCAGCAACGCTTCTCCAGCGATCAGTTCTGCGGTCTCGGCAGAGCTCTACTGCTGCAGAAAACGCTTTGGATGCTTCACTGTCTGAGTTCCGTTTTGGACTTGAGTCACTCCAAAAGGGCCGTGCGAGTGAACAATTTGGACTTTGTTTTGATCCACTCAGAAAATGAGTTGAGTAAGTTTGTAACATTATGGGATTTGAGACATTGTCTATTTCTTGCAATGTTTGATGGAGGAGTATCATTGCGATGTCAACTGGAGAAGTGAGGACACGTTTCAGATTGAACTTTGGCGTTTGGGTTTGGACATGCATGATGTACCATGGTCAAACACTTTTCTAGCTGCGGTTGGCAGGGATGGTCATGATGTAAGGATTGTAGACATCATTGTAAAGGTCTTTGCTTCGGGGACCATGCCCATGATCATCACGGTGATTTTTGTCCAACTGAACAAAGCCCACCAGTCAGATGATGTATCCCGATATTGCTGTGGATGGACACATTGTAACATTCTGCACCAGTTGGGATGGATGAAACCCTATAAATCATTGACTCAAAGCCAGTTATCCCAGTATTCATACTATATTCCTATAAAACCATGGTTGACAGAACGCAGGACTCTGCAACTGGCGCCCGGCATTCGTGGCGTTCAGCGTCATCAGTCCCGACTGGTGCTGCCTATGCGTGTCCCCTTCTCTCTCAGGCTATGACCCCGAGCGCGACAGGGTCTCCTTGATGTTGCTGGGGCCTCAGAGGGTTGTGTGATCAAAAGGTGCGGTGGGATGAGCACTGGTTGACAAAAGCCACACAAACAAATGGGACCACTGGTCCGTACATGGGAGCATTGGTTGGAACATCAAGCAAGACAGTGATATTTCAACCACATGGGAGAAGTTACCAATGGTCATTTTGGGAGCCGAAGGGAATATTGATCAAGAACCATTTCTCCGGTCAATAGAGATGCTGGGCTTATGGATGGTCATGGAACCTGCCGGAAATTTCTAGACCCAACCATGACCACTGCCCATTACCACTGCCCATTGGAGTTTGGCCCTGAAGAGATGCTCAGGGTCCCTTTTGAAGCCATTTGATGTGCTGATGGACCATCCACTTTGCACCAGTTGGCAAGTGGTTTATTTCATTGAGAAACGAAGGGGCTTGGAATAGGCGGGGCCCGCATGTGGGGATGGGGCGAGAGTTTGCTCATGTAGAAGACTTGGTCACGACTTTATGTTGACCCCCGATGAATATTCCCCTATTTATTACTATGGGGGTGCGGGTGCAGTCATGAATCCCCACTCAAATCAAGGGCGCCCCCCATGTTCAATGTGCCGGCTATGACTTGGGGCCAGACCAGGAATATGGCTTTTGCGGTGATGACTTACAGGAAAGCCTCACCCGTCATTTTGCTCCATGTTTGCTCCATGTTGCACTTTGTTGTTCCCCGCCCAGCAGTGGATGATGACGCGTTGCCTTGCGAACACCAACCGAGAAAGTGGTACATCGGACTAAATCATACATACATACATGCATACATGCATACACGCATACATGCACACATGAATACATGCATACATGCATACATGCACACATGCATACTTGCATACTTGCATACATGCATACATGCATACATGCATACTTGCATACATACATACATGCACGCGTACACATACATGCATACATGCATGCATGCATACATGCAAACAGACTTACATACATACATACGTACGACATACAGACGTACATACATGCATACATACATACATACATTCATGCATACATACATACACATACATACGGCATGCATGCATACATACAAACATACATACATACATAAACATGCATATATACACACATGCATGCATACATACATACATACAAACATACATACATACATAGATACATACATAGACACCTACATACATACATACATACATACATACATACACACACATGCACACATACACACATACATACATACATACATACATACATACATACATACATACATACATACATACACATACATACTGAAACAACATACATACTTAAACAACATACACACACACACCCACACATACATACAAACATACAACCATACATACATACATAGACATACATGCACACATGCACACATACATACATTCACACATACATACATACACACACACACATACATGCATGCATGCATACCAACACACAAACATACATACATACATACATACATACATACATACATACATACATACATACATACATAGATAGATAGATACATACATACATACATACATACATACATACATACATACGCACACATACAAACATACATACATGCATGCATACATACCTGCATGCATACATACATACACACATACACATACATGCATGCATGCATGCATGTATGCATGCATGCACACATACAAACATACATACATACATACATACATGCATGCATACATACATGCATGCATGCATACATACGTACAAACATACATACATACATACATACATGCATGCATGCATACATACATACGTACATAGACACACATGCACACATACATGTGTGCATGAATGCATACAAACATACACATATACATACATGCATGCATACACACATACATGCATACATACATACACATACATCCATACACACATACATACACGTACATAGGAACATGCATACATACATACATACATACATACGTACACATGCATACATACATACATACACATACAAACATACATACATTCATGCATACATACATGCATGCATACCTACATACCTACATAATTACCTACATACCTACATACATACATACATACATACATGCAAACACATACATACATACGTACACACATACATACATACATACATACATACGTACACATACAAACATACATGCATGCATACATACATGCATGCATGAATGCATACATACAATCATACATACATACATGAATGGATACATACATACACATACATCCATACACACATTTATACATGCATACATACAGACAGACAGACAGACATACATACATATGTACACATACATACGTACGTACATACATACATACGTACGTACATACATACATACATACATACATACATACATATCTGCATACATACATGCATACATGACATACATACATGCATATACATATATATATATATATACACATACCTACATACATAAATCTATATAAGTGTAAGATATACATATAATGTGTATTGTATTAACATGCTCACATGCTGCCTAGACTTGCATACGGTAGATCGCGCGCACGGCGCGAGGTCCGGAGCCAGCGCGCAGCTGGGGCAGCAGAGGGCCCAGCTCAGTGAGAGGAAGCAAGTGGTGAATTGGCTGTGGTTGTGAACACCAATGTCTAGGTCTCCCGCAGTAGTGCCCCTTTACCCTTTTTTGGGGGAGGCGTCCCCTACTAGAATAGACTATAAAAAGAAGGGTACCCTTATTCTAACCTCTCCATTGGAGAACCTAGATGGGATCCCACTTTGGGTGTGGGCCTGGCTAAGATTTGTTAAGGGTTTAACAAGTTATACCCCTCCTCCCCCGCTGCCACAGCCCCTCACAGAGGTGCATGGATGCGTAGGCCCCGGTTCATTCATAAGGCCGGTGCAACCCATTTGGGTGTGCGTCAAAATAACCCCCATTTTTGACCCACAGCCATTTTGGGGTAGGTCAATTTGCCACCCATTTTAGAACCTATGTTAGTAGAGATTGGGATGTTCACTGGGAGTACGATTTGGATTCTGACCCACAGCCAAATAAAACAATGGTTGGGTGGGGGGGGAAGTTCGGGGGGTGTGGGGGTGTAGGGGGGTGTAGGTGTGTGTGTGTGTGTGTGTGTGTGTGTGTGCGTGTGTGTGCGTGTGTGTGCGTGCGTGCGTGCGTGCGTGTGTGTGTGTGTGTGGGGTGGGGGGGGATCATTTTTCGCCATGGTCCGTTCAGGATTGTCATTCTCCAAAGCGGGTCCTTGCCGTTCTTTTAGTGGGAATCGGTTGAAGCCTAGTGCGTTTCTTTTCGAGTTCTCTACCATCCAACATGAACTCTGAGGGGTCCTGGAATGTTATTTTTCCAACATGGAACCGAACTGAGAGGTCCTGGAAGATGATATTTTTCCTGCACATGGGACGCTCTGGTGGGTTCCATATGGTCAGGAGGGTACCCTTTGTTGTGCTCTTAAAAAGGGAAACCATGAAAACCAGAATTTGGAGGGAGGGTCCGGGTCTCCAAAACAACTTTGGGTGTCTTTTTGCTACGGTCCCCGGGAGCATCATTTCATCCCCTGACCCCCGGAGTAAGGTCCTCCGGATGAAAGTCCGAAATTTGCCCATGATTTGATTTTAATTTTGTTTTGGGTCATCAAAGTCAGCTCACTTAGTTCACGAAACATGAGGGACTCTAGAACCCCCTGGCAAGCCACCTGTGGGGACCCCGGCCTTTACCATTCTCTTTTAATTTCTTCGGTGTGGGGGTTTCACAGACCTGTGTGGGTTTCTCAAAATATGAATCGGATGGTTGGTTTCCTTTTGGTCGCCGTTTCACCTCGTACTTCTTCGAAACACCTTTGTAATTGGCACTGATCAGCCGAAGGGTTTCTTTAATTTCGGACCGTGGCGCCCGCCCAAAAAACATCGACCAGCCTGTGTCTTCTCGAGGGTGCCCTTTGCAGGTTGGTGTAAAGGGAAACCAACAAGAGAACCCGCATTGTTTTGGAGCCCTATTTTGATACATAATTGTATATATATATATATGGGTGTACTGATTCGAGGGATTCGTCTTTTCCTTTTGGTCATGTTGTGGACTTTGGTAACCCCTGGTTCTGATCTTCCAGCCTTCAATGCCGGACCGGCTCTGGCAAACCATTCGCCCACGGGTGAGTTGGTTTGGATCTCCCAGCCTACGGGCTTCAAGCCAACGACCGGGAAACGGACACCTTGGGAATGAACAAAATGCGCAAACTCGCGTTGATGCTGTGCATGGAGGAACTCCCTTCGCACCACTTTGAAACCTTGAAACCATGGGGAAGCCATGGGGAAACCATGGTTTGCCGGGTTTTTGCAGGGGAATCGAATCAGAAACCAGGAGTTCTTAGGTGGTGCGTTTTATGGATTTCGGCCATCCACAGCCACGTGTCCCAGTAGTGCCCTTCTCTTCCTTTTTGTTGGGGAGGGTTCCCTACTAAAATAGACTACAGAAAAAATATCGGGTCCCCGTATTCTAACCTCTCTACTGGAGGACCTAGACAGTACGAATCGCCAACATATCCATGTGTCTTATATAGAGGCAGCCTCGCTTCGCCTCGTGCATCGCTGAGTTCTGTGACGCGTGCCAACTGGCGGCTGAAGGCCGACCATCTGGGAGGGACCGAGGGCGGCGGGTGGTTGGTAGAGATCCGTACAGTGGGAAGATCGGGTTTGTGGGCCATATGTTCATACCAAAGACAGGACCTAATCAAAGCTGACATATGTTAACCCAGTCATGGGATGCAAGTTATTACATAGGTCCTGACAGGAGGGTTGTATTGTTGTGTGTTTTGTTCTTTTGAACAGGGTTGCCCCGAGCCGTTCTGAAGAAAGATCGCCACACCACGGTAGGGGTCGATTGGTTTTGGGACCCTTTTGTCTTAAACAAAGGGTGGATATTCAGGTAACTGTTAGTTGGTGGCGTGGATTGATGGTCTGGGGATTTGAACCCCCGGTTCTTCCACACCCAAACCCAACCTCCACACCCAAACCCCCGAATCGGCTTCAAACTTGAGAAAGGCTGAAGCTACCCACCTGAACATGAACTGGGCGTGTCTTTGTCTTACACGGGGAACCCCCAAACTTTTGGTGTCCCTTCAAAACCACACAAACAAGATACCTGAACCCTCCAAATTCCCTGAACACTTGGTTATTGCCCAAAATTATGGTTGGTCAATCCCTTTTTATGGGTAGTTACACTGAGACCCAACAAATGACCAGACCCTGAACCCATTTTGGGCTCGGCTTGAAGGGGAGTTCTGTAAGGCTCGAATCGAAGCTGCACTGATGAAGGTTCGCTGGGTCCATTTCCTTGGTGGGTTTCCAGCGAATCGTCCGGTTCCTTAGGTTTTTTTGAGAATTTGAGTTATTTAACCCACAAGTTATTTTTTAGCTGGGGATCTGAGGACAGCCTAATTTCTGGTTTGAGGTTGAATCATTCTAATTGGGTGACAGGTGATTTTTGAGGGCACCCTTTTTAGGCGTGGTTCAGTATGTAAAAGGCAAACCACAGGGAAAGCTACCATCATTTTGACACGTTTGTGCTGTTGCGTTTAAGGTTTCAAGGTTTAGGGTTTAGGGTTTGGTTGGCCTCTTGGCTTTGTATGGGCCTCTTGGCTTTGTATGGGCTGTTGGGCTGTTGAGCTGACTGTTGGGCTGGGTGAAATGGTTTGGTTGTGTCACTCATATAGGTTGCGTCACTTGGCTTGCCAGGTGCTGGCAGTGGATCTGCAAGGGCCGTGCGCTCAGAAGGATTTCTGGGGTGCCGAGAATGAATTCTCTCACCCAGCCAATGGACACACTTTACACTTTCTTGGTGGCTCTCCCTTTATTTCAGTGGTGGCCCAAGAAGTGTACACTTTTTTGGCTGGTCACTGGCCAAGTGAGTTATTCATAGAAAGTTATTCATAGAAAGCTCACAAGGGGGCCGCGACCTTACCCATGAATCCTTTCATGTCGGGTTCTTTGTGTTTGGGTTGGCAAATGATCCTATTTGTTTCCCCTGAACGTTGTTCCCTGAGGGGTCGACATTCGCTCTTTTGGTTCCTTTCGCCGGCTTCTTTGAAGATGCTTTGGGATCTTTGGGAGATTGGGTTTGTGTGTTCCTCTTGTTGTTTGCACGTTAGTGGGTATTTGGGCCTATGTGGGTATGATTTTTGAGACCCGGGTCGTGGTGGTAATACTGTGGATGGACGAATCCTGCACCACCTAAGAAACCCTGGAAGGATGATCCCCTGTAAATACCAAGCAAACAGTGGTTTCCCGTGGTTTCAAAGTGGTTCAGGATTTCGTCCATCCACAGTATTGTTGGGTATTCACTTGGGTAGAGACTGCCGTTGATGCCAAGATGCTCGCTTCACAAAACTGCCTTGGGGGCATTCAGGATGGTCTGGTCTGACTTAGAATCAGCGTTGCTTTGGCGCATGTTGCCAAGGGATGTTAGGACTGAACAACTTTTGGCCAGAGAATCGATCGGTTTTCCGCATTAAGCCACTAAAAGTTATTCACTTTTAGCAGGGCAGCAGATTTCGCAACCGAGTTTGCTCATCATTGGGTTTTAGGTCCAAGTTTCTATGATACGAAGTGATAAGGCAGCCACCCCACCACGTTGGTATCAAAGGGTTCTATGTTCGACAAGCGTGCTGTGTTGAATCTTTTATTTGCAAGAGGCTGCCATTTTTGTTGAACTTCCATTTGCTTCATACTTTTGTTTCTAGTTTCCCGCGTTTGATAATCTATCACTGCCGGAAACATACATATCTTTTTCTGGGGGGCTTGAGCAAATGGAAGCCACGTGCTTGGGATGCGATGCCGTTCACTTGAGGTGTGAGGTGACGGAGCTCCGCTGGGAGCTTGGCCTGGGCAGGGAAGGTCGCTTGCTGAATTCAAGGGCCAGAACGGGTACAGTACACGTTGATAGGCAGTATTATACATATTAAATATATATATATATATATATGTATACCATGTAATCGGGGGTACCTACCCCAGGGACGGGTGGGCCAGGAGGATTGGTTTGGTTTGGTTTGGTTTGGTGTGCGTGTGTGTTTGTGTGTTGTGATGGTGTGTGGTGGTATGCATGTGTGTGTGTGTGCGTGTGCGTGTCTTGGAGTGTGTCTAGACACACTCCAAGACGCACACGCACACACACACACATGCATACCACCACACACCATCACAACACACAAACACACACGCGCGCGCACGCGAACGCGCACGCGCACAGACACAGAAGCAGACACAGACACAGACACAGACACAGACACAGACACAGACACACAGAGACACAGACACACAGACACACAGACACACAGACACACAGACACACAGACACACAGACACACAGACACACTGACACACAGACACACAGACCTACAGACACACAGACACACAGAGACACAGAGACACAGAGACACACTGACACACTGACACACTGACACACTGACACACTGACACACTGACACACTGACACACTGACACACTGACACACTGACACACTGACACACTGACACACTGACACACACACACACATGCATACCACCACACGTGATCTTAGTGTGTGTCGATAGTGCGTTCTGTAACGCTGCACCTTCCCCATTCTGTTCAGTGACCCTTTTCGTCCTTATAATGCGCCCTTCCTGCTCTGGGAAATTGGGTGGTTTGGAAAAATCGAACACTGGGTGTTTGGAGAATGGGGAATCAACCAATAGAAACTTGCAGGTGTCGAACATGATATTTTTGCTCGGTTTTGGTGAAGTGAGCTTCCTCTACTGAGCGCTTTTCTCATTTGTGCGCTCGTTTGCTGGTTTTTGCCCTTGTTGTGTGGGCGGTTGCGGGCGTTTTCGCGAACAAGTTCTTCTCGACTAGTTCATATTAGGACCTGGTTGCCCCAATGCCTCCAAACACTCGTCCAAAAACCTGCCGATTGACAGAGGAGAGAGAAATCTGGAAGGTCCAGGAAAGAATCTGGGTACCTCCAAAGAGCATCTTTTGAGGTCCCATCCAATGGAGGTCCGGACCTCTGAGCCTCTCCCTTGGGTGCTTCGGGTCGACCGCAGGCTTCCTGGCGAACCTCCCAGAGTGCCAGACGCTGAACCTCAGCGACAACGAGCTCGGGTCTTTGGAGTGGCGCGGGGCCCGAAGCGCCGAAGCGCGCGTGTTGCCGAGTTTTCAGGGGTCGGGGTTGGGAAAATGGCTTCCCCAAAGGCAGGTATCCATATGGCCATGGGTCAACACCAATGGTACCATTTTGGGGCAGGTGCACCACCCATTTTAGTCTATTTTAGTGGGAATTGGGATGTTCACTGGGGGCACGGGGTTTTGACCCATAGCCATATGAATGCGTAGGGGGAGTCTTGGAAAAAAGGCTCAAAAGGTAAGAGGGGGAGTCTTGGGGGAGAAAGGTTGAACACTTGCGATCGGTGCGAAATCGGCAGGGGATGAGAAATGAAATGACCCCAGAAAAAAAAAAATCCAACTGGTTTCCTTTCAGGGGACCCCCAGGTTCATTCCCTCATTCCCTATCGCACCGATCGCAAGAGAAGTAGGGTCACTTTCTCTCACTTAGTGGGTGAAAACTTGGTTCACATGTTGCATCCGGTTCATAGAGGGCTCTCAGTTTCTTGCATCATCCGCACAGGACTCTCAGTTTCTGAAGCTTCACATCCTAGGCGGACATGCACATGTCATCCCAAGACAAAAAGGGGAAGCGCACACAAACCAAGACCAAGGGAAACCAACACAAGAGCCGCAGGAAAATGTAAGACAATACTGTGGGTGGTTGCGAAATCCGTTTCGCACCACTTGTGAACCATGGGAAGCCACTGTTTGGTGGTATTTACAGGGGAATCGTCCTTCCAGGGTCTCTGAGGTGGTGCAGGATTTCGTCCATCTGCTGTTTGCATAAGTTCCCACAGCACATACCGATATTGAATACAGATCTTTCCAACGTTTTTCTTTCTTTTGCGGGGTTGCTGGAGTGGATGTCTCGATTGCGAAGCACACAAGTTTTGAGTACACGTTTGTTTACACTCCTGAAAGCACATGTGGAAACCCAGAACCAGAGTCATATCAATCGGTCATACACGCCCATGTGGACCGCATTTTCAGTTTGGTTTCATCCCGTTTCCGGGAAAAGGGACTAATTCCAAGTTTCACCGTGTAAGTGAAGTACACTTTGGCATCGCAAGAGTTACTTTCAACAACACTCAAATGTCAACAGCTGTACATTTGCTTATATAATACAAAATTCTATCGTAGTGGCTTTGAGGGTTGGAATCTGTTTCAGCCGCCTTGGGGCAAAATCTACATGATTCCTCCAGTTGAAGCATCCGAGTCTCCGAGCCTCCGAGTTGCGTCGGTTGAGGCTCCCGGAGATGCCGAAGCTGCAGAGCCTCTCCCTGGAGCGGTGCAACCTCACCTCGCTGAAGGGCCTCGGCCGCTGCCAGGACTTCGCTTCGACGCTTCGGCTTCGAGGTCGAAAAAAGGGAAGCGGGGGCAGTGGGCGGATTCGCCACCGAAGCGAGGTTTTTCGGTCGCGGGAAGGTCGCCCGGAGCTTCAAGTGGGATGTTGGATGTATTCATGTCTAGGCAAAAGGTGAAGTTGGGAAGGTGCAGCTTGCGACTGTGGCTATGACCGGTTGGTCAGTGGGGTTTGTTCCCTTGGGGGTATCACTGTATCACCTAAAGTGGGTTGAGAAAATGCGGGGCCTGGGGTTGCTGGTGCTGAAGAGTCCAGAAGCAAAACGATGCGGCACATGTTTTTTTTCCTGGGTGGAAAGGGACTGGATGGAGCAACGGACGGCCGACAGGAGGTTTCCATGTTTGATTTGGGAAGAGCCAATAGCGTAAGCTATAGAAGGGACCTCCGCGACTTGCCCGAAATTTGTGACAATGGGAGTGGCCAGGTATAGGGAAAGCCCCGCTACCATGGTATAACGATGGCTACCACCTACTCCCTACGGGCGCGTTTGGTGGCTTCCAAGCACCTGAATGACCTTCCTGTTTCTACCGGACCCACTTTTTTGGGTAGACTTTGCTTCGGCTTGGAATGAGGTGGTTTTTGGCTTCAACCACTGAATTACCCACCTGAGCCACAATCAAAACCCGGGTAGCTGAAGGTTAGTAAGGGACAATCCCAACCATACGTAGCTGTGGATCTCCGCCTTCTTAATTCTTGAAGCATGGTTCTGGGTAGACCATTTTAAAAGCCCTGTTTTGATCATGACTCAGGTGAGTCCTTCTTTCAGGAATCGGAAATTCCCCCCCAAAAAAAAGCCGTGGCTTTCCTCCTTAATGGCGTCGCCTTAAAACCGCCCCGGGTTTCGATTTTGACCCATCGACCCATTGGACCTCGACCGGACCGATCGACGGATGCCATCGGTTTCAGAGTCAGGAGCTACAGAAGCTCGAGGCTGCAGGGAACCACCTCACCGACGCGCCCTTTGGCTCAGACCGCTGACCGCTTTGCTTTGCTTCGAGCGAGAAAAGTGTGAGAAAAGCCCACCAGTAGTGGTTCGAGAGATGGCTGTGGTGATCGAAACCGTGCTGGGGTTTCATTTTGGTGGGGTTTTCGGCGAATTCGCCACCCGTTTCAGTAGAACCTATTGTTTGTAGTTGGATTGGGATGTTCACTGGGGGTACGGGTTTTTGATTGTGACCCATGGCCAGATCACTCCATACGTGGACAAAATCCATGTCGCGCCACTTGGAAACCAGGAGTTGAAACCATTGTTTGTTTTTGGTAGAATTATCATTCCTTGAGCTACGAAAAGTTTATGCTTTTTAAATCAAGATTCTCGGCCTTTTTTGTGTGTTTAGTTTAGATCTAGTTTTCAAAATATAAAATTAAACGTAGTTACCAGGGAATCAGCGTGCCAGGGATTTTGAGGTGCAGGATATTTGGTCCACCCACCGTATTTCCTCATTTTGGACCTTGAGAAGTTGGATGTTCAGTGGAATCCAGCTGTAAACTGCAACTTTTGCCTGGGAGATCCATGGATTTCTGGTGAACTTGGGCCTGGCATCTTTTGAACTCATGCGATGCTTATGTTTTGCATGCTGGGCGACTTCCATGGTTGTCCACCCACGGTAGTGTTCACTAAGAGCCACAATCAAACATAGGGAAGCAACAAGTGTCCAACGGATCTGAACGGGTGAAAAGGGACCCCGACTCAAAGCTGTGCTGGTAGAATTGCATAGGCAAACAACGCCCACAGCGTGCAGAGATTTGTGCTTGGCACCAGCTGAAAGCTATGGCTATGGGGTCATATGGGGTCTCTGCCAGACAGGTTTGGGTGAAGGGAATTGCCCTCCGCACCAAGGCGATGTTCGTTGTCCGAACATATACCAGGTTTCCAGCTTGAAGTCGTTGACATTGTCAGCTGATGCGGCAAACCCACCGATGAGGGCTTCACATTCACAACTGGTAGTCTAGAAGTGAGGAATCGCGTAAGGCTCCTTGAAAGGGAGGCGGCCGCCGTCCGCATTCTAGAGTTTTGACCATGTCACGCCGGATTTGAGGTTTCGGGTTTTGGTTTTAGGTTGGGGCAGGTCCGTATACTCCCCTACACAACGTGGAACGCAAAAACGAGGTCCCTCAATAGAGGTTCCTTTAAAACGGGCGGTCTTTGGGGTTCCATGTTACTTTGTAGAGGGGTATTCCATTTTTTGGGAGGAGCAGCATTAATTGCAGTCTCATGGCCTTGTTTGGAGGGTTCCTCTTGAATAGTGCAAGGACTTCCTCTCTACGTGCAAAATGCATCTTCAATCTGCTAAGCAAATTTTGACCAGCATCTCAAGAATGCTGTGACGTGCTACAAAACACTGTTTGTACAGTGTTTTGTTAGCATTGTCATCCTGAATCATACTGGGTGTGGATCGTTATGGGGGTGACTATATATATATATTAATATGTATACACATATTTTTTGTACATGTATATGCGCATACATACATACGTACATACATACACACATACATGCATTCATTCATTCATTCATTCATTCATTCATTCATTCATTCATACATACATACATACATACATACATAATTTCGTTCCTACATACATACATACATTCGTACGTACATACATACATACATAATCATACATACGTTTGTACGTACATACATACGTACATACGTTCGTACGAACATACATACGTACATACATACATACATACATACATATGTTCATACGTACATACATACATACATACATACATACATACATACGTACATACATACATACATAGATACATACATACATACATACATACATACATTCGTACATACACACATACATACATACATACATACATACATACATACATACAAACATACATACATACATACATACATACATACATACATACATTCGTACGTACATACGTACATATATACGTACGTACGTACATACATGATACATACGTGCGTACGTACATACATACATACATATGTTCATACGTACATATATACATACATACATACACACATACATACATACATACATACATACATACATACATACATACATACATACATTCGTACGTACATACATACATACATTCGTACGTACATACATACATACATACGTTTGTACGTACATACATACATGCATACATACATACATACGCTCGTACGTACGTACATACATACATACAAACGTACATACATACATACATACATGCATGCATGCATGCATGCATGCATTCATACATACGTACATACACACCATATCGATATGTATTGATGTACTTAAGTTCAAGGATCTTCATTATCTTCCAAGTTCAACAAGTGTCCTTCGGTCGGCCAACCGTATCTGAGAGGGACTCAAACTCTGGGAGTCCCGAGGCTGGAGTTGCAAAAGCTGAGCAAGCTGAGCGAGGTGTCACTGGAGGCGGACATCCTGGGGTCTGGAGTTGAAGGGATTTGTTGGTTTGTCCTTTCCCAAGCTTCCCCCACAACCAAAAGTCCAAACACATAGGAAATTGCTTTCCATTCCGCTAGAATGATACTATGCTTTCCTAGTTTAGTTAGAATTGCAGATCTATCTTGTTTGGATATAGAATGTGGGGTGTTTCAAATGAGAACTGAAGGGGAAACCAAGGCCTTTTCTCGGCGACGGGGACATATACAGGCCAGGGAATTCTGTGCTGGGTGGTGGCATGGTCTCCTGGCCCGGGTGAAGTAAGTGGTGGCTGAAGTTGGCGCTTTGGGGATGTAAGAAACCACCTGCAATGAGAGGGGTCAACAATTGGCGCTGGATGAGAAACCGTTTGTATACCAAGAAGCTGGGCTCCAAACCACCCTTCGGGAAAGCTGAATCCGAATCTGAGGTAAGGCCCCTTTGGGCGAAGCAAATTATTGTCAAACCAAGGTACCTGTGAAGTCTAACCTCCTGAATAGAGGCAGGTCTCGTTCTCCGAGGCAAGGCATTTTGAGAGGTTCTCAGAACTTTGCCTATCCACCATATACCTCGTAGCTCGGACGTTGAATTATCCTCTTCTAGACAATCATCTACTCGTACTTGAAGATGCGTACAACCCAACAGAACATGGCCTCCTCTTGTTTTTTTCGTCAAACCCACCCCTTTTTTTCGGGCACCTCCAAAGAAAACCACGGGGTTTTACAGGGCTCCTTAAAAGATGCATCTTGCCCATTTGAAACATGGCTTTATCCACCAAAATAAAGGGTCCCTGTTTTAGCCCCCCACTCGGGTCAAGAGGACAACTTCGTGGACTCCCTCGACACCTTCGCATCGCTGCCCGGGAGCCGAGGATGATGGATGCGAGGGACGCCTGGTATCCGCGAAACAGACGGATCGCAAAGGAGGAAATGGCAGTGGGTCAAAAATAGATACCCAAAATGGGTTGCCCTAGTAAATGGAACCAAAGACTAAAACCCGCGGTCCAATTCCTGCTGGTTTAATTTTGACCCACACCCAAATGGACGACTCACCCACTTTTGTTTTTCTAGTTGCCCAGTGGGCTGCCCCCTTTTTTCAACCTTTTTTTTTTGTGAAGGCTTCCCTTCAAACTCAACCAACCAAAAACGGATGCCCTTTTTCCCCCGGCCACTGGGCACCTGAGTCCCAATGGATCGCACAAGCGCAAACGGCGGTTTCCGGTTGGGGAGGAATATGTTTTGGCCAAGTCGTTCCGCTCTGTGGGTGTCTTTTTTGTTGAGGGAAATCCCGCTCATTTCAGGGGGTATTCCAGTTTAGAGACCAACCCATGTTTGATGCCATGTTACAATGTTCTTGCGATGTGCGACCTCAACAGGATGTCGCGTGCGAGTTTTTGCTGTTGCGAGTTGGACCGGCAAAATAGAATCGCGCAGACCGTGGAAGAGTGTAGGGGAGATGACCGACTCCGCCCTCTGGAGCCCTCCTCCCAGAAAGCATCGCCTGGGCGACCCCATAGCTATCCACTGGAATGGAACCCGGTCAGGTTTCATCCTTAGTTTCAGAGTTCGTGGGCTTGAGCCACTGGGTTTGGACCATTTTGGTGGCAAGCAAGAAGTTTTCGGGGGTGATTCCTTTTCCATTCTTGTCAACCATTGTTCTTTCCACAAACCGGCCGTTCTCGTTCTTCCTGGGTTTCCGGAGGTTTTCTAGAAACAAGGATCCCTGGAAAGAATGGGGAAGGTACCTCTAGAAGTTAGATGACTTTGAACCATTTTGGTGGCAAGGCAAGCAAATTGGTGACTTTTCTGGCTACTGACTCGATCGGAAGTGAGTCTCGGTTCCCTCTTTAGATAGGTGCTTTTTGGGAATCCGACAGGACAATTCACGCCCTGGCCACCCTAGCCTGAGAATCGAAGGGTATCTCCAAGGGGGCCCTTTTTGAGGTTCAAGCCCTTCCAGTGGGAATCCCGCAAAGGGAGTAGAGTCAGAGCCGCAAATGGAAGGATCACAACCCCCCCATGAGGAAAGGGGATGCCCAAACCAAAAAGGGGGTCCTTTCGGATTCGTAGGGAGGTCCGCGTCGCGGGATGTCTCAGCGGGCGCGGCGCCGCGTCTGAGGACCAGCCTCATGGAGCTGTATCTCAGCAACAACGTCATCGAGGACTCGGCAGCTTTGGACCGGACAAAAAATGGATCTCTTTTCGTCCATTGGCCTAAGAATAGTTTGTTTTTCCCTGTTGATTTTACAGGGAATCCATCACTACTGTTTTTTGTTTTCTTTTCTAGAGGGCTTAAGCAAAGATAAGTTTTGCCTTTTGCCACATTGGTTCAATACAAGCAACTGGTTTGGGTTGGTTGGAAGGGAATTACAAGGTTATCCTTTTGTGTGTCGGTTTAAACTGAACCCGAACAGGAACCATATGGTTGCTCCATATTTTCTGATTTGTTGGGCAGTTGCTTTTTGTTCAGTGGCTAGGACACCAACACATGTTCCAAAGTTTGTTTGTTTTTTGGGGAGGGGAGGCAGTACCATTTTTTTGGAGGCACCCCATGGATTTCACTCCTCAAGTGACTCCATGGCCACCAGTGGGGTAATGGATTCAGGACATGCAGGACATGTGGCTGTGGCTCAAACACATGTACCAACTATAGCCACAAAAAAATAGGATATTACTCCACATTTTTTGGGGTGGCTTCCTCTGCTCATGGGTAGTTTGAGGGTCGTACACCAAGTTGCACCTTGATGGACAGACCAAACGCTGCGTGACCCCTTCCAGGTGTCCAAAAGGGTACACGCAGCTTAGCTCTGGCGTGTTGGCTTGTGTCGATTTTTCGGGATTTTCCTTTCAACCAGTACTTTTGACCGAGAATGAATACACCCCTGTGAATACATATGTGTGTGTTCCCCTCCAAAAGTTGTCTGAATCCCCACTAAAGCCACTTCGCAGCCATATTTGCAGGGGTTTGTCAATCTGGGGTCAACATTAACACCTGCATTTTTTGGCAGGGGTCTAAGTCTCGCCCGCAATGAACACGCTTTCCACTGGACCCGCATGTGCGGTGAGTCGTTCATCAGGACCTACGGTCAGTGCTGCTTGTCCGCATTGCGGTTTCGACATCCTTAGCCGAGAGTGGTGCTCCGTTTCTCGTTTTGTAGCCCTGAGTATGTGCCCCGGCTTTGCCCTTTGGGTTCTCTTCATTCTCCCTTTTCAATCAGACAGGTAACCACATGGTTGTGAGTCAAACATATGTAGCCAAAATGGAACCCTGGTAAATGGAAACATGGACTAAAAGTCCAATTCCTGGTGGCTCAATATTGACCCATACCCACATTTTGGTCGATCGATGCTGCAGTTTGCGAGCTGAGGTTGCTCTTGAAGCAGCTGCCCAAGCTCATGGTGTTGGAGCTCTCGGGCAACGACCTGTGCAAGGCGAATCCGCCGGATATGGTGAAAAGGGAGCGAGACAAATAGCAAGCCACGCCCATAGCATAAGCCACAGACACAGAGACAGACACTCAAAAAGACTTGCGTTTTTGTTGCATGAGGTTCAGAGGGTCCAAGAGGGTCTGAGCAAAATGAACATTATTTGCTTCCAGATTACACCAAACTCAGGTGTTGGACATGACAGACATATTGCTAAGGTATCTTGGCGGCAGTACCTCCTGGCTACAAACATCATCAACTTCTCTTGAAACTACTCCTCGAGCCATTCATTGCTCAACCATTTGGTTTTCTGGGGAAGCCTTAGCCTTAGAGTTGATTGGGTTCAAAATAAATCGACCAGAACTTGACGGACTCATTTTTCTTCCTGCCCCTCTATTCAACACACACATGAATTTTCTCCAAGTGGGGCGCTTGTTTCCGAGCGCAGGTCGCTGACTACCGGCAGTATACCATGTTCCATCTGCGCAAGATGAAGGCGGCACCAGCCTTTGTCACGCTGGCGGCTGCATTGCGAATGTCAGTCCTAGACCTGTGGTATCCCGTGGTGCCATGTGTGTTTTCCGTTTTTTTTTCCCCTTTTGTTTTACAACAGTATCTATTTTTATGATGATGTCTGTGTTTTTGTTAGTTTATTTATTGGGGGGGTATCATTTCAAGAAAAACTGGTCGCAGTTCCTTGCCAGGGGTTTCCCTGCACATCCACCGGATGCCCTTATTTCCCATGGCCACAGGTCCGGCTTCCGGCACATCGGAAGGCTTCGGGATGAAACAAACTCGTGAGAAGCAACTAGGTGCCCCAGCAATTGGCGCCCTTTCTCAGCCGTTTCTTTTTTGGTTGGGAGATTCGGTTCCCCTAAAATAGACAAAACCGAAAAAAAAGTGGGTACCATTATTATTCAATGCCTTATTCTATCCTCTCCACTGGAAGACCCAGGCAAGGACACCGTTTTTCAGGGTTCCCAAAATGTCTAATGTTGACCCCATATGAACAACCCCTCCTGTTAAGAAGGGGGTGGTCCCTCCAAACCTGGTCTGCATCCCCACAGAAGGGGACACACCCCAATTCCTCAACCAGTTAAAAAATAAATAAAAATGGGGTCAACATTACACATCACCCTTTTGGCTCATAGATGATTCTCCCTTCAAACGGGCTGCCTTTGCGGAACCCTTCGCCTTTTTCCGGACCATTCTGGGAATGCGACGCCCAATACCCCTTGTATGAAGATAGGGAGCGGGCCTGGACCGACCCCAGTTTGTTTCGCGTAGGCGGGCCTCTTTGGAATGCGCTAAGCATCTTGGTGCTTCCTTGCACTCTGCTGAGTTCCCAAAATCCATTGGAGATCCCCAAAAAGCAGCCGCTCTGGAGGGGCCTTTTCTGCGGCATGAATCTTGAGGGTTTTTTTTGGGCTTCCAGGGCATTGGGCCACCAGCCGATTTCAACATCTTCACTCGGCTGTGGATTTGGATGGTCGCAACGTTCCTTCGCACGAAAAGACGCCATGGGAATGAAACTAGAACGTTGGTTGGTATTTTGCAGGGCAATCACCAGCAACCAGCAGGGTGTCTGAACGGTGGTGCGAAATGGATGTCGCGACCACCCACAGTATGACCTGTATGGTTTAAATAAGCTTTTGTTGGTTCCCATTCAAAGTGGGAACTAGCGTCTGGTTGTTTAGACAGATTTTCAGCGACGCTGTTGCATGTTGATTTTGTGAACCTTTCCACGAGGCAGGTGGAGCCTGGACATCGTCATCCCTGCCATACCAGTGAGTTTAAGCACGTGTGAGATACTCGCTTTTGTGATTTGAGTGCTGTGTGTGCGTTGTCCCACAGCATGGTCTGACCAAGAATTTCGGAATGTGAGAATCCAGGGTTCTCCATGTTTGCCCTTTTGGCTTTTTCCACATCATCTTTTCACTTTTTCGAGAAGGAGCAACTTTCCTTAGACGCAACCCGCCCAGCCAAACGGTGGCCGGAGGGCAATGGCCAAACTGCGGGTGGGTCTTTCCCCCAAAATGGCATAATGGTTTTCCCGTTGGCTTTCCCTTTGAAGCAGAAAAGGGACATGCCGCAGCATGCCCCTCAGCAAAAGACAGAGCCATGTGGCCCTGGCAGGTCTTGGACGGCCAGCCCATCTCCAAAGCGGAGCAGCATCAAGCGGATGAGAAGTTTAGCGGCAAGGCGCCGCGCTCGTTGCCTGTGCGGATGTGCCATCTGAGGTGTGGTTGGGAGGGGATGGTGGGCCGTAGGGTCTATGATGCAATGGTTGATGTTTGGGGTGTAGTCTTTGTTGCTGCAAACAATATGGTTTTGCGGGTTTGATCAATTTGTTGTTTTGCCGTCGTTTATGCTTGGGAAGTGTCCAGGGGGCGGGGTGACGGCTCCAAAGTGAGTTGAAAAAGGCACCTTTTCGCTTTGAGGCTTTTTGGAACGAGAGTAATAGCCCCTCCAACCAGCTTGTCCCCTAGAAAGAAGCATCCTCACTCTCCCGGACATTTGAATAATACCCAACCAAGCATATCCCAGACTGAGATTCGTCTAATTTTGCATGTGGGTGCCATGTGTTTCGAGGCCCCCTTTTGGAATCAAAGGAAAGTAAAGGGAAGCCACCCATTCTTGAAACTCCCAAAAAATCGAGTAAACTCCCGTTCTAGCAAAACCCTCCCCATCAGAACTTGGCAACCAATATGGGGATTTGGGTGACTTTCGAGCCGAAGGATGGTTGAAGAGAATGGGGAATCCACCCCTAGACACGTGGCAAGTTTTGGGTTCCCAATAGGCAGGAAAAATCAAACCGTTGGCTGTCACGGCATATCACTAGGATCGCTGCAAGTGTGGGTGGCATCCTTACAACTATGACAACTTGCTTCGCACAACAGCGGAATCGAGGGTCTCCGGCAAAAGGGTTGGACGATCGCCACCCTCTCCGTGGATTCTGACTGTTCAGATGCTGAGGGCCCAGCTGACAAAGCTGACAGGACAGGGTGACAACCAAACGATGAAGCTCTGGATCCGGCCGCCAGACGAAATGGTCAAGCTTCCACAAGACCTGACGCATGGATGAGCTCAATGCTTCATATCTACGGCAAGGAGTCGTTCTTCTCAGGGGCTACACTTCCTAAGTTCCAGAAGACGACTGTTTGTGCCAAAGAGAGCAAGGACATGCTTTCCAAAAGGAGCAGTCAGGTTGTTAAAAGAAGGGGTGGATTTTGCTCACATTTAGTGCTCCCTCTAAAGAGGGTCCAACAGGGGAGACCATATTTCTGACAACCTGACAGATGACAGGTTCCTTGAATAACAGGGGCTGTGTTCTTTTTTCTCCTCTAGACAGTTTTTCTGTCCATTCATTCGTTTGGCAGGTTGTTTCGTCTCGGGCCACGCGATTCTGGAATGCTGGATCTCATTCTGACCCATTGCAAGCCTTTGCTGTCCCAACATGTTGACCCATTGCAAACCTTTGCCTGTCCCAACATTTTCGACTTGCTTTCCAGAGGGTCCAAGCACCTCATATTTGCTGACTTGGCAGACACTGGTTGACCAATTCCCGTCAAACCGCACCCACAACCATGATGATAAACTACCTAGGCCTTGTTTCCGCCCAAAATGATGAAGCGACACTCTCCAAGCGGCCACAGTCCGTTGGCTAGTTGCCCACTTTGACTGGGGTCCCCATTGTTCCCTCTTTTGGAACCTTGTCGGGTGGGATTGAATTGTTATGTTGGGTGAGTTGTCTTTTGTTGAGGTGAACGTTTTCAGCGGGAATATGTATGTATGTATATATATATATATATGCGAGCCGCCTCAACAACATTTGAGCGACAATCAACACCGGGATAGATGAAGGTTAGTAAGGGACAATCCCAGGCATAGCATAGATAGTTGCGGCCGCCTTTGTATTTCCTGAAGCATGGTTCTGGGTCAACCATTTTAATACCGGGTTTTACATTCTCCCGTGATCTCGCTCCCTTCCTTTTCCACGGCGCTTTTCGACAGTCGGGAAGTGGCCGCCCCCAGTAGTGCCCTTTTCCCCCTTTTCTTGGGGAGGGTTCCCGTACTGAAATCGACAACAGAAAAAAGTTGGTACCCTCATTCTACCCTCTCAGACTGGAGCAAAGGGGCCCCAACTCCATTAGCTTGCATGCGCCAGCTTTCTTGTGGGTTCACCCTTTGCCGGACATGGAAAGGCGGTCACAAGGGTCGCTGCTTTTGCCACGCAGGTGACCATGGAATTGCTCGAGGACAAGCTGGGCCCCTCCCCCTCCTGAGCCTTGGCAGCCCCAGAGCTCCGAGTCCGGACGCGCGAGGCAGACTGGAAGTTAAGTGGAGGCCTGGGTCAGAACTTGGGGATAGGCTTCTTCCCCAGAACTAGCTCCCGTATTTGTTGTTTTTTTTTGCTTCTTGGAATTGGTCCCTTTGTTTTCCACTCACCAGGCAACAAAAAATGTGTGTTTTTTGCCGGGGTCCGAAATTTTTCCAGCCAAGGGTTATCTCCACTGAACGGGGGACTGATAAGTTGCAAGTGGGGGATTGCCGAAAAAAAATACCAACGTACGTGGCCGAACACCCAGGTCTTCTCGTCTCTGTGACTCAAACCTTTGGCAAAGCTGTTTGTTTCGTGTGTTTTGGGGGCGGGAAATCGTCCCTTCAAAGTGAACCCAAGGAAATGTCCTTGTTCCTCCATGATAAGGTTACTACGGGTGCAAGGCTTGTTTTGCCTTTCCCAACAAAAAATGCTTTTTTGGAGAGGGGTTCGTAACTTCTTCTCAATCCCTAAAAGGAGATGTTTGTTGGTTGTGTGTGTGTGTGGCCGTACGGTTTTCTTGCCTGGGCCATCCAGTGGCGTTTGGTCACTAACAACAAGGCTTTTTGTTGTGCATGAAACGACATTGGACAAGTGAGAAGTGTGTATGAGGTATTTGTAGTCTGAAACTGTACGCAAGCTCTTGGGCTTTGTATTTTTTTAGTGGCAAACACACAGTTTGAACTCAAGAAGTAAGTGTCGTTCCATTGAAGTACCAGCCGAACGATGCCCCCAGCTGGGCCATCGCTCGCGCGGAGGCTGTTCGCTGGACATCGGTTTCCTATTTTTTGTGTGAACACCACTGGGATCTTCTGAAAATACGTTCTACTTACTTAAGGGTAACGGTAAGCAGATATGAACCCGAATCCAAAAGACATGAGTTTCTGGCCAAAGCTGAGGTAGAAGACCAAAGTGTTGGAATCATGCACTGATCTTGGTTTCGGCGCTTTCCCTCGAAGCGCTTCACCGCCGGACGTCGGGTTTGTTGTTTTTCTTACACCAAAGGTTAAAGGGTGTTCTTGCCTGCTGACCTGTCAAATTTTACACCACTTTTGGTGGTCGGTTTGTTCCATTTGAGTCAAGCCTCAAAGAGTTTACTCGGCTTTTGGCGAGTCAACTTAAGACTGTGTTTTGTTTTCTCCTGTTGGTTTTAAAGGGAATCGGCTTCGCTACTGGAAACATGATCAATTTTCCAGGGGGCTTAAGCAAATGGAAGCAACTGATCCACGGGTAGCCCTTTCAATTCGTTTCAGCTGATCTCTGCTGCTGGAGGCGTCTTTTCGGTGTGTGTCCAGCTGATTCCAGGCTTCGCGGGGTTTGAGAGAGAAGTATGACATATTCCACATGACTCATCCCAAAAGTTAGCATGTATGGGTGCCTCGTCTTTTCTTGGAGTTGAAATACCCCTTTGTGGTTTTAAAGGGACACCAAAGGGAAACTCTCGCCATTGTTAAGAGGTAGCTCCAAACAAAAATATCCGACACGACTCTCTGCCCCTAGGCAGAATGTTGACCCAGGAATAAGAAACCCGTCCCATATCGGGGGGTGTTCCCTCCAAAAGCGGTCTGAATCCCCACTCAAAGGGGTACATCTCGCTATTAATCAACCAGGGGGGTTTATTACTCTGGGGACCCATTTCTTTAGGGTCAGAAGGAGAGACTAGGTGCCCCCAGTCCCATGATTAGGGGTGTGTTCCCTCCAAAAGTGGGCTGAATTCCCACTAAAAGGGGACACCCCCTCCCATAAAAACAAAAAAATAAAACAACGGGGTTAACATTACCACAAACATATCCGACACCACCATCTCCCCCTAGGCATACTCGTAGCCCAAAAAAACAGACGCAACTTTCGCCGAAAGTTTTCGTCGGATCCTCAGGCTACACCTTCCGCACAGTGGACCTGAGCGGCCAGGGCATCCGCGAGCTGGCGGGGCTGTGGCACCGATCGAAGCGATCACCTCTGTTCAGTGGCTCCCTTTTCCAGTTTTTTTGGTGGCTGCCCCTCTAAAAATGGTCTTCCCCAAAATTCCAGGGTCACTGAACAGCTGAGCCACAAATGGGTGTCTCGGTGCCCGTGGTTGGGTGTTTTAAAGGGAAGCCAACAGGAGAACCCGATTTTGTGAAGGCAAACAAAAGGAACACCAGAATCTCGGGCGGGTCGACAAATGGGGTTATACACCTGCTGAGGTTTGGCTTTGTAGCCCTATACTCCCTCGCAGATTGACGGGGAGCCCAAACAATCGGACGATTTGTAGAGGAAACTCCTTTTGGGAGACTTATTTTTGGTTCCAGCTTTTATTGTTGTTGAAGGGAGTAACTAAAACGAGGCCTTTAAGTATTGATAAGGAAGAAGTGCGCTATGGACGAAAGGGACGATTTGCTAGTGAACACGGGGGAGTTGTTTTTGGAGTCGTCAGCAACCCCTATGAGTTTGTGTAGCTGCAGGGTTGGCCATGCAGGAGTCACGGAATTATCCCTTCTGAACTCATCACTCTTGTACTTCCATGTTTGTTGGCAGGGTAGTTGTTTGATTGTATCGGTTGGTATTTGTTGAGTACAAGGTGTTTATTTGAGGATATTTGATGCCTTTGTGGAAGTCATTTGAAACACGTATGGTTGGCCCCAAAACCCGGTACTGGGTTCCTGCGGGTATGCCAAGCTTGGCAATCAAGGTGGAAAACAGAACGACCCTGGACCCGCGGATGTACGGGGAAGACCGAGGAAGGTGCCTACAGCCCTTGTTTTCTTGACTGCTATTGGGTTGGATCTTTAGACTTTAACTTTTTGGAAAATAAAGGTGTTTTTAACTTTTTGGAAAGTAAAGGTGTTTTCAACTAAATCCCCAAAAGTTAAGCTTTTTGCAGGGGGGTCAACAGCAACCAAGTTTTCGGCTTGCCCTTGAACAAATATTCTCGACAACAGAGACCCACCCTCTTTGGAAGGTCCCTTTGTTAGTTTGCCAAAGGGGATGGTCGAAGGCAAACTCCGAGCAAACAACCTGTTCTGTCCGATCCGCAAGTTGGAAGGGGAATCCCTGTGTGTCTTTCAAAGGAACCCACAATCAAATCACATACAATGACAAACATTCGGCCAGACGTGGTTTTGCGAACCCTTGCAAGAGCCCTGTTTGAGAACCCTCCTTTGCGATTCTACTCTCCTTGACAAAGGAGCTTTGAGGAGTTCCATGTTCGAGCAGGGTTGCGGGATCACAGGGTTTATCCCCACTGGTGTGATACAAGGGAATCTCCTTTCTTACATGGGGGCGTTAGTCTTTGGGAAGTTTTTGTATCACAGAGGTGGGTTCCATTTCACAACGCCCTGTTTGGGAGCGTGTCATTGGCCAACATCCCGCGCAGGGCACGCTGCTGAACGATCACAGAGGTGGGTTCCATTTCACAACGCCCTGTTTGGGAGCGTGTCATTGGCCAACATCCCGCGCAGGGCACGCTGCTGAACGATGACCTGTTCCCGTCCTTGAGGGTCCGGAGCTTGAGATGCTATCAGACCGGCGTGCTTCCATTTCGTTGAGATGTTTTTTTTTTTTGTTCCCCTGTTGGTTTTAAAGGGAATCTATCACTACTGGGCTTTTATTTGTCTTTTCCAGGGGACGTATTCGCAAATGGAGGCTTGGAACTGCAACCCTGGGGTTCAGGTCACCAGGAAACATAGTTGGGCTATGTCACCATTGTCATCCAAACTGGGCCCAGGCTGCCGAAATGCAGTGGAACCGATGGATCTAAACCCATCTAAACCAGTTGTTGGGTTCACGTTTCACCACTATTCTTTCCCGAGGGGTCCCCTACTAAACATAGACTACAGGAAAAAAAACGGGTACCCTTATCATGGTTGTTGTTGGGAAACATTTTACATTTTTGCTTGTTGTGGTTTAGTGGGAAATTCCCACATAACTGCTAAAATTTAGATTTTTGCTCCCCCAAGTTATTCGAACTTCTCCACTGGAGGACCTAGTTGCCCAGAAGCATGAAGACAAGTGGGTGGCCGAACCCCCGGACAGAAAACACTGCGTGGTCAGAGGTCCATGCTTGCAGTGATGTCGGAGCTAGGCAGATTGAGATTGCATGCGCGGAGGGCTACCTGGACCCTCAAACTACCCAAACAAATGGGATATCACCCCATAATTTTGGGGGTCAAACTCATTTTTAAGATGGAATTTTGAGGATTCAGGTAGCTTTTTTCGGTAGTGTGGCGCGCTTGCTCTCCATCTTCTGCCGTTTGGCGTACGCTTTTGAGATCCCGCAGGCCTGGGTCGGAAGTGTGTGAGTCATTCCCAGGTTTGCTTTTGTACTCCATTGACTCGGCTGTTCAAAGGCAATCCGCAAGATCCTTACCTGGGGTTACGCAAGGAACCGGTCTCCTAGTGGCTTTCCTACAGGGATTGTGGAAAATCGGATTGGGCAACCCAAACCATTTTGAACAGCCCAGATTGAAGGACTCTCGCCAATTTCACACTCTCCTGGTAGTGAAAGATCGCATGGTATTCCGAGGGGGGTCCAATCACTTTTGCGGACAACACTGCCTGATGAACACCCGTCTGATTTATGAACTAGGTAATTTGAACTGGTGTGGTTATATATGAAAGTCAGGGACTGCTCCAGGCAACTTTTCGGATTCCTTTCGGGTTGCCGTTCCAATGTTCACCATAGGTCCCCCAGTAGTGCCCTTTTTCCGTTCGGTGGGGCGGGTTCCCCTACTAAAATAGACTACAGAAGAAATGGTACCCTCATTCTATCCTCTCTACTGGAGGACCTCGTTCAAACTGCGGCTTCCGCTTGTTGAAGCACTCGAGCTTTTTGGCTGGCCTGAGGAGCTCGTACTGGATGGCAACCCCTTCTCGGACATCAGGCGTGAATTTCTTGCGTCCGCTTCACCCTATCCCTCGGGGTGCTCTGGCAGCGCTGGTTAGATGCTCCTTGTGAATGAATGGTTTCTCCTGCCAAAGGTTTAT